GCCGGGGGAGCACTAAAACAGACAAGACATAGCTTAACAAAGAACTAACAAAAAGCCAACTACCCAAAACACGCCGTGCCCAAGGGCCGGCGGATTTACAGGGGCATTTTGCGTGTGGGCGGTGGTTTTCTTCCAAGATCCTCTCAGAAGCAGGTGTGTTGGAATGCATTTTGGTCCGCAAGAAGCGTTCAGGCCGTAGCAACCGTGCAGCTTGCAACCATGTGTGGCCCTGCTTGTGCCTGCTTGTAAGTTCCATATACTGTATATATATATATATTATATCATCCTCACAGCTTCCCAGTGGAGACCTACGGAAAAGAGCCAAGTAAACTTGCAAACTTGCGTGGGCTGACAAAGTGATGATGGTCACATGGTCATAAATGTTGAATCCCATGGACGTTGGCAGTGTCAATTTTGCTAAAGAGCCTTCCCTACCCGCATGACAAAGCAGAGCGCCGCACTGTCTGCGCCTAAGTCCCGAAAGCAGAATGTGGACAGGCTAGAGTCTGGATTCCGGTGATTTTAGCAAATGAAACTCAACTTTCAGGTGATCAAAATGCAGGCACGTTTCTCAGATCGTATCTTGGCCTGTTCTGTCAGAACTTGCGTCAAGGTTGAAGGAACGACTTTGCAGGAGATGTAAAACCCAAGTTGCTCATGATGAACTTAGCTGCACGAGCCATACCATGTTAGACTGCAGCTAGATAAGCAAATAAACTCCCAAACGCTTTTGGACAGGACTTGCTCCGCAGACCACCAGCAGATGTGGCGCAGTGGGTTGTGCAGCAGGCGAGACATTGTGAAACATCATGGAGGTTGTTTGGAGGTCCTTTGAGCTTTGGACGTGTTGAATGCAGGCCGAAGCTTTGTCTGCTCCTGGTGCACGTGTGCAAAACCTGGAAATTTTTCAAGTTGCAGGCAAGTGTTGTATCCAGTTGGCCTTGCTGTGCTGGTTGCGAAGATTGGGGACTTGATTGATTTCTGCCTGAAGGTGCCTTAAGCACCGCTCCAGTGGAACAAAAACAGGTCGGTGAATGAGAAAAGATGTGCAACTCGAGTGTGCACACGTGAGCCAACTGCCAACGTGTGTGACCAACATGCTCGACCAGCACCAGGAGTTGATGAAGAATGCGATCTCTGGTTTTGGTCGGCTTCCAGCAACCCAACGTGCAGAGGCGAGACGAAGAACACCCAGTACTCCACCTGTCGTCCCCGCACTCGGTGCTTTGACTCGGAGTTTATTTGTGAAAGGTCCTGCGGTTTGCTGTTAGCACAGCTGCAGTGGTGCGCCGCCAACCTTTGCACTTGAAGAGCTTCACTTAGCATTCCATTCAAGATGAGCTTTAGCACTTGAAGAGGGCATATACCATTTCATCCTCATTTGTGTCATTCTGCTGTGGAGTTGTCTCACATAGAGTTCGCCGTACCAGGGAAAATTTACAATGCTCCCTAATCTTGAAAAACACCTTCCATACTCATTGGCATGTGAAGTCCCGCTACCCGCAATGCCAGGCAGGTAGTTCACGCAGGGGAGACGTGGATGAACTGACGAGGGCCAGCGGAATAGGGTCTGATAGCATGTCACAGTTTTCATGTTTTCTACTGGCAGAACGTGGGCGTCCTCGTGAAGGAGGCCAAGATAGATCAAATGCCACCAGCAGAAAAACGACAACTAGCTCAGGAGAATGCTGGAAGCCTGTTGCCCTGATATCACTTTTCCTGTGCGTCTTTTTTCACTGGGAGTGGACGTATTGCCACCAACTCATGTTTGCCAAGCAGCACAGGAGATCCAGCAAGATGCAGCAGAGCTGGTTCAACCACAACAATTGATTGAGGTCACAGTGCCCAGCAACTTTCTGAACAATGTTCTGGTCCTTTATTGTCATTTTTGGTGTCATAGCATCTCATAGCGTACATCAGTGATGTGACCTCAGTGAGCATGATGACTAGAAACACGACAGCTTCTCAACCATTCCATGACTGCAATCACGTCTTTTTCGGTTCAAGTTGGGTGGCGGCAAGGTTGTTGCAGAGCTGAAGCCTGAAGAGCGAGAGAGGATGACCGAGGTGCAACGGTGCAGTGCGGTTGCTGCTTCTGGCCTTTCCCAGAATTCTAGTAGTCGCTATGGCTTTTGACCTAATCTAGTTCTACTAGTAGTAGTAGTAGTAGTAGTAGTAGTAGCAGCAGCAGCAGCAGCAGGAGGAGGAGGAGGAGGAGGGCTTCCACCAAATGTGCCTGTAAAATCCTGGCTCAGAAATTGGTAGTCGCTCAAAAGAGTGGTTTTGGGGTTTCTTTATGGCGGCTACAGTGCAAACTTCGAGTCCGGCGACCTATTCAGCTCATGCCTCAGTGTCATTCAGGGTCAGGGAATTCTGTATATAGTAACTTTGCCTGAGAAGTTGTTGATGAATGGTGCCACAGAACTAGTGCCTCTGATGTCTTCTCCTCAATGGTGCATTGAAACTGACAGCGTGCATCGCTCCAAGGTCGCAAATGCAAGCAGCAATCCAGTGTCGCTGCCTCAAAGAAATTGAACTTTTCAGTCTGCCAGCAATTTTCCAGCAGACTTTGCTGCTGAGGCTGTATCACACCGCATCTTCAGCTGTTCCTTACTATGGTGGAAATGGGTTTGCCCCCGAGAGTGTGGACCTCGTTCGAACAAGAAGTCTGCCCCGGAGATGTATTAAGGTCTTATGTTCCTGCCGTAGTGGGTCCACAGGCGGAGACTGTCTGCCGATTCTTAAGTC